ATTTATTTATTTTTGAGAGAGAGTAAGTGCACAAGCAGGGTGGAGCAGAGAGAGAGAGGGACACACAGAATCTGAAGCAGGCTCCAGGCTCTGAGCTGTCAGCGCAGAACCTGACGTGGGGCTCGAACTCACAAACCCTGAGATCGTGACCTGAGCCAAAATCAGATGCTTAACCAACAGCCACCCAGGCACCCCCCCACACACTATTTCTTTTAATAGCTTTATTGAAATGTAACTCATATGTCGTATAGTTTACCCAGTTAATAGGTACAATTCATGGGCTTTTAGTATATTCACAGGTATATACAACCATCACCCAAGTCAATTTTGGGACGTTGTAATCGCCCCCAAGAAGAAACCCCGAACTCCTCAGCTATCACCCCCCACCCAGCCCCTGCAACCAGTAACCTACTTCCTGTCTCTCTGGATTCGCCTATTCCTGGACATTTCACATAAATGGAATCATGCCATCTGTGACCTTTTGCGCCCGGCTTCTTTCATAATGTTTTCAAGTTCAGCCGAAACGTAGCACGTATCGGCCCTTTGTTCCTTTTTAGGGCCAAGTAATATTCCACGGTGTGCATAGACCACACCGGGGTTTCTCCATTCATCAGTTGATGGGCTCCTCGGTGGTTGCCCGCTTTGGCCATGACGGGCCGTGGTGTTATACTTCCCGTAGCTTTGTGGTGTTCTGGCGCCGCTCGGACAGCTTCCCGCCTGTCGCTAAGTGTAAGAACGTGGCCCTTTTACTGAGATTCACCCACGCCTCTCCTTTCGTTTCCTGACACCCCCTGAGGCTCCCATGTTCCGGACGGGGATGGCGGGCATCGGCGGATGGCGTGGATGGCGTTGAGGGTCAACGGGACAACTGAACTTTGTTTTCATTTCTGTCTGCCTCCATTTATCCATCCTCCAAACATGCCTTGAGTCCTACCGTGTGCTGGGTACCAGGCGGGTCCCAGATCTCGAAGGTGACCCGACAGCCTCCTCCACACTATGCACCCACGCCTTCTCCGTCCTTCGGTTTTATTTGTGTATTTTATTTGCTACTTAATGTAATTAATTTCTTTATTTTGAGAGGCAGAGAGAGAGAGGGAGAGGGAGGGAAAGAGAGAGAATCTCAAGCAGGCCCTGTCGGCACAGAGCCCAACGCGGGGCTGAAACTCATGAACCGTGCGATCATGGCCTGAGTCGAAGTCAGATGTTTAACGACTGAGCCACCCAGACGCCCCTGTCGTGCTGTTTTAATTAGTATAGTTTCAGAGTCCGATTTGCTCTCCAGGAAACCAGACGTCCCCTCGTCACTAATGGGAAAAAATCCCGCCTGTGAATTGGCGGCTTGTTGTGTCCCTTGCACTACGCCGCGCGCTTCGACTCTTGTCCCTTCACCAGCTCAGGGCATCTCCAGAATCTGACCGCTTCTCACGTCCGTTGCCGCCCCTCGGGCCCTGCCTGGAGCCCCATGGTCGCCTCCTCCCCGGGCCCCCTGCCGCCGCGCTGGCTTTTTGTTCTGTTTCCCGCACGGCAGCCAGTGGGGTGCTGCTAACACCCGTGTTGGTCTCCCGTGGCCACCGTAGCAGATTAGCACAACGAGTGGCTTCAAACGACACACACGGGTTTGGAGATCAGACTAAAATCAGTGTCACGGGGCGAAAATCGAGGCGTCTGCAGGGCTGCGCTGCTTCCAGAGGCTCTAGGGGAGGGCCTGCTGCCTTGCTTTGTCCAGCTGCTCCCGCGGCCTTCCTTGGCAGGTGGCCTCCTCTTCTGTCTTCAGAGCCAGCCAGCCGTGTCACATTTGTGTTCAGTCTCGCAGTCTTCTCCTGTGGTCGGGTCTGCCTCTGCCTCCCACGTATAGGGACCCTTATGATGCCATAGGGTCCCCTGGGCAGTTAGGGGTGGTCTCCCCATCCCAAGATCCTTGATTTAATCCCGGCTGCAAAGTCCCTTTTGCCATGTGACGTGCTCACAGGTTCTGGGATTAGGGCGTGGGCATCGTGGGGGCCGTTACCCAGCCCACCACGGCACCTAACCCAAGTCCTGTCCTTCCTCTGCTTAGAACCCACCATGGCTCCCCAGTGCTTGTAGGACCAAGCCCACAGCCATCTCTGCTCCTCTGCCCCTCCCTTCACAGGCGCCCTCTCCCTCATCCTCTCATGTCAGTGTTTTTTAGTTTTAACAACACACCCCGGCCACCTCTGGACCTTGGCTCCATGCATTTCCCTGTGCCGGGACATTGTTTCTCTGGGCTCTCTCTTTTTTTTTTTTTTTTTTTTTAAATGTTTATTTTTGAGAGAGAGAAAGAGAGAAAGCATGGGAGGGGCAGAGAGCGAGGGAGAGAGAGAGAATCTCAAGCAGGCAGAGCACAGTCAGTGCAGAGCCTGATGCAGGGCTTAAACTCGCGAACCGTGAGATCTGTGACCTGAGCCGAAATCAAGGGTCAGGACGCCCAACCGACTGAGCCACCCAGGCGCCCCGATACGTGTTAGTTATTATTATGGTTATTGTTATTTTAAGCTGACTTCCTTTAGAGCACATCTAGCCCAGGGTAGGGATTTTAAAAGCAAGAACGTTCCATGAGGTGTTCTTTTTGAGTTTTTGTCGTTGTTGTTTTGTTTTTTTTAATACCTCTCCCTCATCCAGATGTACAGTTGGATCACTTGAGCCTCCTGAAGCAGTTTGAACACCTGGACCCTCAGAATCAGCACACATTCGAGGCTCGGGACCTAGAGCTGCTGATCCAGACGGTAGCCGTGAAGGGGCCGACAGGCAGAGGACTGAAGGAGGCTTTGTGGAAGGGGAGCAGGGAAGGGAGCCTGGGACGTGAGCCCGCTCACCCCTGCCTGGTGTTCTGTGAGGCCGGTGGCTGCAGAGGGCCGGGTGGTGCCCAAAAGGCCTCCCCAGATTCTCTCTGGGAAAACAGATACAGGCAGGTGGGCTTGGCTCCATTCAGACCCGGATTCAAATCCCTCCTTGGCTCGTCCTTCCCCTATGACTTGTGAGGGTGGGGGGCGTGGGGCTGTCTCCTCTGTGTCCTTGTGGGAGGCAGAACAATGGCCCCCCCGCACCAAAGACGTCACACCCTACACATCCTTTTTCTTTTTTTTCTTTTTTCTTTTTTTTAATGTTTCTTTATTTTTGAGAGAGAGAGAGAGAGTGAACAGGGGAGGGACAGAGAGTGAAGGAGACACACAATCCAAAGCAGGCTCCAGGCTCCGAGCTGTCAGCACAGAGCCTGACATGGGACTCGAACCCACAAACTGTGGGGTCATGACCCGAGCTGAAGTCGCCCGACTGAGTCACCAGGTGCCCCTATTGTTCTTTCTTCCTTCCTTTCTTTCTTTCTTTCTTCTCCACACCCAGTGTGGGGCTTGAACTCACAGCCTTGAAATCAAAAGTCCTCCACTTTACCGGCGGAGCCAGCCAGGTACCCCTAAATGTGTATTGTTTTAAGGCTCCAAATTTATGATAATTTGCTACAGCAGGCACAGAAGTAATAGAGACCTTATCTGAGAAATGGGATCTCGAGCCCAGCCTCATGAGGAAGGCCAAGGGCCACGGGGTTGGGGAGTGGAAGGGGATGCCCAGACCTGCCCCTGCCTCTCCCCTCCTCCTCTTTCTTCGGCAAGTCCCCAACACCCCCAGCGCAAAGCCCCCACCCTCCTCCTGGCCTGAGCCCCGTTTTTCTGGCCTACTGGAGCTCCATCTAGTGGCCGTGAAGATAATAGCAGCAGCCGTTTGAGTCCATGCAGCATTGGACTCCGTCCCTGAGGGATGTTTTTGCCACATATTTCTAGAACATTCCAGACACTGTCCATTTTCTCCAGGCCCCCAGTCATCTCCTAGTTTTAATTCCCATCATTTCTCATCGCCAGTTCCTCACTGGGCTCCTTGCTTCTGCCTTCCAAGTTCACCAGCCAGACTTTTCAACCTAGCACTCTTGACATTTGGGGCTGAATAATCTTTTGTTGTGGGAGAAGTCTTGTGCATTGTATGTTAACAAAAAAAATTTTTTTTTCAACGTTTATTTATTTATTTTGGGACAGAGAGAGGCAGAGCATGAACGGGGGAGGGGCAGAGAGAGAGGGAGACACAGAATCGGAAACAGGCTCCAGGCTCTGAGCCATCAGCCCAGAGCCTGACGCGGGGCTCGAACTCACGGACCGCGAGATCGTGACCTGGCTGAAGTCGGACGCTCAACCGACTGCGCCACCCAGGCGCCCCCCAAAAATTTTTTTTAATGCTTATATTTATTTTTGAGACAGAGAGAGAGAGAGACAGAGTGCAAGCAGGGGAGAGGCAGAGAGAGAGGGAGACACAGAATCCGAAGCAGGCTCCAGGCTCCAAGCTGTCAGCACTGAGCCCGATGCAGGGCTCAGACCCATGAACTGCGAGATCATGACCTGAACCAAACTTGGACACTCAACTGACTGAGCCACCTAGGCGCCCCCGTTGTATGATGTTTGGCTGCATCCCTGGTCTCTACCTACTAGGCACCTGTAGACCTACCCCCGTTGTGGCATCCAAAAATGCCCTCAGCCTTTGACAGTGGTGTCCTGTGGGCCAATCTCCCCGGGTTGAGAACCCTGCAGTGCTCTGTTCCCCACATAACAGCTGTGTTAGTTTCCTGCGCTGCCCACGAATAAATTACCGCAAACTTCGTAGCTGAAAACAACTTGAAATTATCATCTTATAATATAGATCAGAAGCCAGGAAGGACCTTATCGGGTGTGTTAGTTTGCCGTGGCTGTCATAACAAATTGCCACAGACTCTGTGGCTTAAAGCCGCAGAAATGTAGGGCACCTGGCTGGCTCAGTCCTTAGAACATGCGACTCTTGATCTGGGAGTCATGAGTTCTCGAGTCCTACGTTGGGTGTAGAGATGACTTAAAATTTTTTTTAAAAATTAAAAAACAACAAAGATGTATCCTCTCTCAGTTCTGGAGGTCAGAAGTCCAAAATCAGTATCCCTGAGCTAAAACCTTGTTTTTGGCGGAGCTATTCTCTTTAAAGGCTCTAGGGGGAAACCTATTCCTTGCCTCTTCCAGCTGTCGGAAGCTACCAGCACTCTTCAGCTTGTAGACAAATCATTCCGGCCTCTGTCTCCATTGTCACATGGCATTCTCCCTGTGTCTCTGCATCTTCTCTGTGCCCTTCTTATAAAGGCACCAATCATTTGGATTTAGAGCCGACACCCGTCTGGTAGGACCTCATTGTAACTAATTACATCTACAAAGTCCTATTTCCAAATAAGTTCACATTCCGACATTCTGGGTAGACATGAATTTGGGGGGTGGGGGGATACTATTCAACCCAGTGTGGTATTGCTTTCTCCATCTTACAGAGGAGGAAACAGGCGCAGAGAGGCTAAGTAACTTGCCCAAGATCACACAGCCTAGTGGAATTTGTTCACACACCAGAGCCTGGATTTGAACCCTGGGCAAAACAATTGGAGACCCAGGGTTCTTTACCATTTAGCTGTGCTGCTCTCCATAGTCTGCCTCGTATGTTGTTCCTTATTGCTTATTCCTCCAAGATCTTTCTTTTCTTTTCCTTTTTTAATGTCTATTTATTTTTGAGAGGGAAGGGCAGAGAGAGAGAGGGAGACCCAGAATCCGAAGCAGGCTCCAGGCTCCGAGCTGTCAACACAGAGCCCAATGCGGGGCTTGAACCCATGACCCGTGAGATCATGACCTGAGCCGAAGCCAGACACTCAACTGACTGAGCTACCCAGGCGCCCCTTTCTTTATTTTATTTTTAAGTGCTCTCTATACCCAATGTGGGGCTTGAACTCACAACCCCCAGGTCAAGAGTCACGCGCTCCACCTATGGAGCCAGCCAGGTGCCCTGTTCCTCCGAGATCTTGAGATTGTGGAGGACTTGAAAGAGGTGGGTTAAAGTTATTATTGTGTAGGAGTGCTTGGCTGTCTCAATCAGAAGAGTGTGTGACTCTTGATCTTGGGGTCGTGAGTTCGAGCCCTGGTGCTAGGTGTAGAGATTACTTAAATAAACTTAAAAAAAAATCATTCTTGTGTAACCATCCTAATCTCCTTTGAACAAATAGAGGTGGCTATGTTATGAGGCAAGAGTGGGTCATAGAGATCAAGAACTGAGCTCAGGACATGGAACTCAGGACTGGATGGAGGTCGGGGCGGCCCTTGCCCAGGTTCAAGGCTGAGGGCTTGGAATTTGGAGGTTGAAACTTAGGGCCTGTGTACGGCAGTGAGATGAGAATGACCGTCTGCCTTTCCCCAGGCTACCCGAGACCTTGCCCAGTATGATGCAGCCCATCACGAAGAGTTCAAACGCTACGAGATGCTCAAGGAACATGAGAGACGCCGTTATCTGGAGTCACTGGGAGAGGAACAGCGAAAGGAGGCAGAGAGGAAGCTGGAAGAGCAACAGCGCCGGCACCGAGAGCATCCCAAAGTCAATGTACCTGTAAGGACCCCCTTTTGTGCCCACCCCACAGCCGAGTTCAACTCTCCAAGCGCCATGAGATGAACAAGTAGCTAAAGAACTACAACTCCCAGCAGGCCCCGAGGCCAAAAGCCCGTTTAAATATGCCCAGTCACTCCAGGGGCTGCTGGGCGTTGTAGTTTTAGGGAGTTTTTTTTTTTTTTGGCTTGCTTGCTTGAAGAAAATGACATTTGAGGGATGGGGGGGGGGGGACCCAGACTTCTTGCTCATGAGCCCCTGGCTCTCCCTTCCACAGGGCAGCCAAGCCCAGTTGAAGGAGGTGTGGGAGGAGCTGGATGGATTGGACCCCAACAGGTTTAACCCCAAGACCTTCTTCATATTGCATGGTAAGGTGGGGAGGGAGCCCCAAGACCCAGGCTGAACCCTGAGCCTCTGGCCTTTCTGGGGTCTGAATACTAAGGAGGCAGCTCCGACACTGGGGCTTAGGCAGGCCAAAGAGACCTGAGCCCATCTCTCCTGCTGGTCTAGAAGGCTGCACCCCTCCCCATTGCTAGGATCTTCCATAGAAGAGCTAGGCCTCTTTTCTGGGATACACCAGACTTCTCCGTCCTCAGGACTGGCTGATGTCCACCAAGTAAGCAATTCAGGCTTGGCTAGGCCTGGGTCCCCCCTTCCCACAGCAGCCCAGAAGCCCCAGTCCCCGCCAGGAACCCTATTGCCAACAGTGGGCCGTTCCCTAATTAAACAGGCCTCCAGGGACCTGGGAAGCACCTTCCCCATGGTGGTTTAAAGGCACTTTCCCCTTCATTCTCTTCCCATCTAGAAACATAGCTTGGGGTTGCCAGGCCACCTCAGATGTGCCTAGGACCCTGTCCCAGAGGCTGCAGGTGGTCAGCAAGGCTTAACAGGGCACGGCTGATTCATTCGGCAGACGTTTACTAAGCTCCCTCTAAAGACCCAGCTTCACGGAGACCCCATGGATACTGCTGCGAACAAAACAAAGGTCCCCCCTCTCACAGAGCCGGTGATCAGGCAAATAGATCACGCCGTATTCCAGTGAATCTGAGAAACCAGGGAGTGTGAGATACTCTAGAATTTGTACATAAGCTGCCCATTAAAGGGCCTGGAGCATGTAGTGCCCCATCTGGCTACCGAGCTGTTGCAGCGACCGAGGAACTGAATTTCTCATTGTATGTGATTGTTATTCATTTACATTTCACGTGTCCCAGTGGCTACTCTATTGGGCGGTGCAGCTCCAGAGAGTTGACGTTTGAACTTAGACTTCAGTGAAGTGAGGTTGAGCCTTGCAGACATTTCGGGGGGAGAGTGTTCTAGGTGGCGGGAACAGCAGACACCCAGGGAAGAGTGAACGTGGGTCTCCAAGGTAACAGCCAGCTTGCTCCAAGCCTTCCAGCTGGGTTAAGGAATCTGGATTTTATCCTCTCTGAGATCGGACACCGCAAAAGGGTGTTGAGCAGAGGACTGACACCATCTGCCTTAAGGGTTGACAGAGTCCAGCTGGCGGGGTCAGGGCCAAAGCCAGGAGAAGGCTGGAGATGCTGGTGGCTGCATCATGGGGAGTAGGGAAGAATGGTTGGAGACTGGATTTATCTGGAAGGTCAAGCTGGTGGGATTCACAGATGGACTGGATGAGGAGTATGAGTGAGCAAGAGTCAAGGGTGACTCCAAGGTATTTGGCCCTAGCAACTGGAAGGATGGATGGGGAAGAGCAAGCATATTTGGCAGGGGAAGTTGGGAACCGTGTCCGTTCAGGTCAAATTGGAGATGTCGATTGGACAGTCATGTGGAGATGAGAGTTGGGAGTCAGATATTCAGGTGTGGAAGCAGCTCGTGGATGGCACTGGAAGCCCAGGGATTGGAGGAACCCATCTAAAGAAGCGCTGGCCAATCAAACTATTTTTGTAACGATGGAGAATGTCCCGTCCCATCCAATATGGCAGCCACCAGCTACGTGTGGCTACTGAATGCTTGACATGTAACAAGTGGGACTGATAAACTGAAATTTTTTTATCTTAATTTAAATTCACGGGCGCCTTGGGTGGCTCAGTCGGTTGAGCGTCTGACTCTTGATCTCAGCTCAGGTCTTGATCTCAGGGTCGTGAGTTCAAGCCCTGCATTGGACTCCTTGCTGGGCATGAAGCCTACTTTTGGACTTGAAGCTTAGTTAGACAAGAGGTCCCAGGACTGAGCCCTGGGGTGCACCAATATGTAGCATTCAGGAGGAGGACAGAGCCAATGAAGGAGAACGAGGGGCATCTGGAGAAAAGCGTTTGATGTTCTAGAGGCCAAGGGCAGAAAGTCCAGTAAAATGTGAGTTAAAAATTGACCATTGGCGAGGCACCTGGCTGGCTCAGTCGGTGGAGCGTGCAACTCTTGATCTCAGGGTTTAAGCTTGAGCCCCACGTTGGGTGTAAAGATTGCTTAAAAATAAAATCTTTAAAAAAAATTAAGCGCTGGATTTGCAAGGTCAGGGTTCTTGGCCATCTATGAAGGACCAGGGTGGGTGCTGATCTGAGTAAGCAGAGGGGGGGAGACAGTGAACATGGCCCACGTGGCTGAGAAGCCGGGAGCCCTGTAGCTGTACACGCGGAGAGGCAGGTAGGGGTTCCTCTGGCCTGGTTCTCTGGGAGGCAGAGGCCTCTGACACCCTGGATCCTGGGCAAGGGAGTTGATCCTGTGCCCAGATCACCAGGCGTTAGGGATCAAGTTGTCTTGTGTGACAACTGCCCCAAGAACAGTCCTGGTGAAGCCCACATTCATTTACTCCATTCCTGGGACCCTGGTTGGTAGGGAACTGGCTGACCAAGCAATGAGCCAATGGGGTGCTGAAGCTGGAAGGATATCACTCTGTCGTTGGGGACCCAGGGACACCTGACCTCTGAACACGGAGCCCACACCAACCCCAAATTCCTTCTCTAGCCCCACCTGTACCCACCCTGTACGCAGTCCCCCAAGATACTTTGTTGTCTCCCCCTCAGATATCAACAGTGATGGTGTCCTGGATGAGCAGGAGCTGGAGGCCCTCTTCACCAAGGAGGTGAGCATCTTGGAAGCCATGGGTGCAGAAGATGCCCAGTCAGCCTTGCGTCCCCTCGGGTCCCCCTGGAGGTGAATTCAGGGGAAACGACAACTCCCAGCAGCCCCCACGGCAAAAAGAGGCTGCCGCGCGTGGCCAGGTGCCCCGAGGGCTGCTGGAAGTTGAAGTTGCCTGTCTGTGTGAGTGAGGAGGTGGAGTAGCCAAGGGAAGAGGTTGTCCTGGACCCCTCAGTATGTCCTGCCTGTCACTTGACCCTGCAGCTGGAGAAGGTGTATGACCCAAAGAATGAAGAAGATGACATGAGGGAAATGGAGGAGGAGCGGCTTCGCATGAGGGAGCACGTGATGAAGAACGTGAGAGGAGGGGGCCGGGGCCATGGATGGGGCGGGAGGGGGCAGGGCCG